GGGAGCAAGCATTGCAACAGGCTCTCGTTTACACGCAATGGTAAATAATATTCTGATTATGCAATACCTATTGAAGTAAGGCATTCAATTGCAATTCAAATTCACATTCTTTCCACGAATCTGTGATACAAGTGTCAAAAAGGCAATGTTTACCTCGACAAATGATCATTGTCTTAGGAGTACCTGAACATTGCCGTGTACAAACTGCTATCACGTGGTTCTCAAAGTTAAAATGGGCCATGAATCAAGTATTTTTACGGAAATAAGTTACGTGTGGAAATAACAACCAGAATGATTGGCCCATACACGGAAATAAATCATTGTGACTGCAATTTGTCCCAGTAAGTGCAAGTTAGTGTTCTGTATAAATATCTGTTTGGATTTCCGTCTTTCTGTAAAAGAACCAAGGTAGCTCTCTTCTATCATCTCCACGTGGACCAAGTTCCTGCCGTCACTGAAGATGAAGTTAGCTGCGCTGGTGTTGCTGGTTGCTGTTGGAATGGCCTTCAATGGTCTGGGTACTGAGGCTCTCACGCCTTACCAAGTCATCCAAGCTCTGATGGGCAGTGCTCCTCCCTACTGGGAAGTTTGTTTTGCATTGGACAGCAGCGGCAGCATTAGCGATTCTGAGTGGTCGTGCTCCAAAGGATCGACCAAGGTAAAATACATGTGCACTAGAACTGATTTTATAATCGAAATGGTTTGCATCCTGTTCAATAACTTAATTTTGTGTGGATTTATCCGCTTTCGTTAACTTTTACTCCCACCAGAAACATAAGATGAGTAAAAGAGACAATATGGAATAACAATGTTAAAAAAGAAGAAATTTAAATAAATTCCGCATTTCTGTCGACAGTGCAATAGGATCTGCATATTAGATCACTGTAATTCATTTTTTGGGCTAGCTTCGCTTTGTGAAAGTCACCAGGCATCTGCTGGTTATATATATATATATATATATATATATATATATATATATATATATATATATATATATAACATTGGTCAAAAAGGTTGTCCCACCCCCATTTCCATGTACTTTTATTTACAAATAATTACCTCACAGTTGTAAATTGTTAGAAATAGTGCTTTTTATTCCAGATACCGTGTCTACCATGATTAATGGATAAAAAAAATACAAAATAGTGGTGAAAATATACACGTTTTATGCCATTTAGTAAAATGTATAACAGGTACCCCCTCAAATCCACTGTTTCACTGTGACTTATTCAGATGTAAAGAAATGTGTATTAAATTGAAAAGAGGCCATCAAATGTCACCAAAATTACACACAGTTAGCATTAGGGTGTGCTCGTAAAAGGGCACGTGCCTAATAGCGTGTGCGGATACCGCGTACTGCAATTATCTCTTGTAGACGGCGCGACAAGCCTTCAACACGGGTAACAATTCTGTTTTTTTGGGATATTGTCCCTTTCTTCTTAAACAGCGTGGCGGATTGGACCAGATTATTTGAAAATTGATTGATTCATGTCACGGTTGATTAGTAAGGTTATTATAAGGGCTCAAAGATGGCGGTTCCATCCTTAGAGCATTGTGTTTCTACAACAAATCACTTGCCAGGCGAGAGGTGTGAGCAATTGTGCTGTCATAATGAAGCCTGGAGATAACCCCAAAGTCAGTTCTTAAAGATGGTGTGAGATAGCAGCTGAGAATGCTACGTTCAGTGATCCCACAGGCACCTCAACCTGGCCATCCATCACTGGAAGGAAGTAGGTTTTGATGCAGAATTAAGTTATTTCTTGTATCCCATAGATGGTCAAATGAGGGTCGTAGACATGTTCAAAAATGCCTCTTGGAAGGTGGTGTGTAGGATAATATCGCCTTAGGTGTAAGATCAGTCCGCATTTGGAGAACATTCCAAGCCCATGGTATTAGTACATTGTTCGTTTTGGTACAAAACGTAACGGGGGCATTTTACTGTAACATTTTCAACAGATAGCTCACTCCGTTTGCAAGAGGTGACTTCAGGGATGCTACAGGCATCATTGTGACAATGCAGTTGCTCACAGCTCTGGTCTGGCAAGCGATTTGTTGAAGAAACGCGGAGCTCTGAGAATGGGTCAACCGTCTTTGAGCCCTGATATTAAACCTACTGATATTAATACTGAGCACCTGTGGCATTAATTGGAATGTGCATGGCAGAGGAGAACCAATTTCCAAATAATTTGGGCCAATTCCGCCACGCTCTTTAGGATGAATGGGAAAATATCCCACAAAACAGAATTTTAACCCTTGTTGAAGGCTTGTAGACACACACGCTGTTAGACACGTGACCTTTAAAGAGCACACCTGTTATAAATTTGACTAAATGGTATAAAATTAGCATGTTTTCACCACTATTTTGTATTTTCTGAACCATTAATCATGTTTGACATGGAATCTGGAATAAAAAGCACCGTTTATAAAAAATAACATCTTTGATGGGATCATTTGTAAATGAAAGTACATGGAAATGGGGATGGGACAACCTTTTTGACCAATGTAGTTGTGCAGCTTATAAAAATACTGGGTTACATTTGAATAAATATTGTTTCAGAACATCCTTTTCATCATCAACAACACTCCTGGTACGAATACTATAGCACCTTGGAAACATAAGATTGCTCTGGTACGCTTCTCTACCTGGGCACAACTCATTTTTGCCCTTGGGACCCATTCGTTCTACACTGCCAATCGCAATGCTATTGGCGCCGTGGCGAAAAATGGTAAGATCGATACATATTTAAGTTTAGGGACAGTCACTTTAATATAACGTCTCAGCAGCTAAGTCAAGCCTGCAGTCTTAATAGTTATTTTCATACATTTGCTGATAATTCATAATGATAAAATTTAAAATTGTTCACTTTCTACACAATAAACTGAAAGCGTACCTAAAAACTTTCGTCCCAACACTTATAGTTCCATATAATTTTCAGGTGGTGCGACGAATATAAACAATGCTTTATTGAAGTGTTATGTTCAGCTTGGTTACTATGGCAAGCGCTTAGTCTGGATTATGACTGATGGGCAGTATAATTATGGGGGTGACCCGAGGCCCAGGGCAAATGCTATGAAAAGGAACGGTATGTACTAAGACTAGACAACAAGGAAATAGGCTGTCTACCTTAAACAAGTGCGGTCATTATAAACATTTAAGATCGGAGAAGTTGGGACAAGGGCCTTTATTTTTATAATTATTCTTAAGATATTCTGTTGTTTATTCCTTTTTTCTACTGCATAAATACACGTCTTCGTCATTATTTCAGGAATAATCATTTGCGTCGTGGCTGTTGGTGACAATGTCAACTGGACTGTGATCTACGACATTGCCTCTTGGGTGTATATCCCGGGCACCCGTCGTTGGGTGAAATGCGTTATGAGGTACCACACCTGTGCGGCCTATTATCGTGCGTCATTGATATATTATCCTATACTGCCACGGGTGAATCAAACAGTATTTCCCGTTACAAGGGCTGTTCCTTAAATATGCAGACAGGAGTCCAGCTGCAAATGCGCTAAGTTTGTTTCCGTTAATTCCTACGATATTTGGAAATGAGTATCACAAGCTGTGAATTTATTAATTATGACTTTACTGACAAATTTATGTTTTCAGAGTTAAACATAGAAAAAAAGTTCAATTTCTGTTACTTTTTAATTTGAGACCATAAGCAGTAAATGAAGAAATTTGCACGTGTATAACTTCTTTCTACCCCTTATGTTATTTACTATACAGCAGCACACATCGAGCAATTTGAATAAAACAATGCGATAGCTTTAACCTGGTTTTCGGTTTTAAATATATTATTACTGTACTCAAACTACCAGTGAATTTCTTTTATTATCCGAAATTTTAAGTTGGGGTTTACCTTCAGTGGTAATGTCGTTATTCGTTTAATTGTATGCTATGGAAAACCTGTATTGTAATTTATGAATTTTAAATTCACGATATAAAAAGCGAGTTCCTTTCATAAAATCAATTCACAAGCATGATCAAAGCTTTGTGTTTTATTTTATTTGTGAGCATATCTGTCGGTGCTTTATTGCAGTCGTCACGTGACAGTCGGCAACGAATCGCCGCCAGGGCCCGGTTCCACACAAGGCGATTCCGTGCCGACTGTCACGTGGCGGCTGCCATACCACCAGTCGTGTCCCCTGCAGTGACAGTTCCATGATGGTGTCCTTTTGATAAAGGTCGAAACGTCGGAGTATCTGCAAAAACGTCCACCGGATCTACGTGATTGTCCAATATTAGAGTTAATTTATTTGCCTTTAATTACCAGTGATATTTTAATGAAAGATTTAAGATTTAAGCGTCCTTTTATTTAGAATGTGTCGAATGTGTGTGATTAAAACGGTTTTTAAATTTTGTGTTAACGTTTACAAGTTGTCCCGTCCATTACCTTCCTGTAAAGAGCGTCATTACCCGTATTTTTCTTCCACGAACGTCTCAAATGTCTTTCAATTGAATCAGTTTACATTGCAAAAGGAATCGTGCATGTATCGTATCACGCAATTCTGAATAGTCTGTGTAGGTAATTTGAGTAAGTTATCGTAAGTAATCTGTCACTGTAATACCTTTAAAAGTAAAGAATTCAACTGCAATTCAAATAGCATACTTTCTTTACTTTCCATGTATCTATATGGAGCAGGTGTCAATAGAAGAGATGTTTACTTCAGCAACATGCCTAAGTTATAAAGGAATGCGTAATAATTATCTTGTATTCCCCGCTTCAATGTCGTTATCAAGGTTTAAGTAAGCCATGGAATCACGTATTTGCACTAAAAAAAGGAATGTGTGAAAATAACATTCAGAGTGGGGTAAGCCGATTGGTTGACCCATAGACGGAAATAAATTATAATGAATGCAACCTGTGTGAGTGAGTGCAGGTTGCTTTTTTTTCTTATAAGTATTTGTTTGTACGTCTGTCTCTCTGCCAAAAATTCGAGGTAGCTTCTCCTCTATCGTCATCACGTCCACCAAGTTCCTGCCGTCGTCAAAGATGAAGTTAGCCGCGCTGGTGCTGCTGGTTGCTGTTGGAATCGCCTTCAATGAGCTGGGCTCTGAGGCTCTCACACCTCACCAAGTTATTCAAGCTCTGATGGGCGGTGCTTCTCCTTACTGGAATGTGGTGTTTGCTTTGGACAGCAGCGACAGCATAAGCAGCTCTGAATGGTCTTGCTCCAAGTCATCGACCAGGGTAGGATAAACTGGCTCCACTATAATAAACAATTTAGCTTGTAGTTTGCTGGGGAATTTGAGAGCACATATTTCTGTATCTTTATAATTATAATTACTAACATTAAATAAGAAAACAAATCTGTTTTGAATAACCATGTTAGATAGATAGATATATAGATATATTGATTGCTAGATATATAGACAGTACAAAAACAACGAAACATATACGTGTTTTTTTTTTCTTTTTTTTTTTACACATTTGTGCAACGCAAAGCAAAATATTTGATTTATCTTTAAATAAGTCTTGCTTCAGAATATCCTTGCAATTATCAACAACACCCCTACTCCGAATAGCATAGCCCCTGGAAAACATAGGATCGCTCTGGTACGTTTCTCTACCAGGGCAAGGCTCATCTTTCCTCTGGGTTACCATGAAAACTACCCTGCCAATGATGCGGCTATTGATGATGTGCCGAAAGAAGGTAGGGCCCACTATTGTGCAAATATCGTTGTAGGTCATATAATGCACGCACTCATACAGTATACACACAAGTGCACAGACACACGCGCGTTCATGGGTGAGGGGCATCCCGCAAGAAAATGCAGTAGTGTCGAAGTAGCAAAGAAGCATCAACGCAGTAGTGGTGTGGAGCATATTTGCAGTAGAAATGCAGTATAGCCTACTGCAATTCTACTTCAAAAATTACATAGGGTTGTACAGAGGAGGAGCATAAATGCAGTAGATTAGCAGCATGATAGAAGCACATGTTTCAAATATGCTAATTAGCTCCCACATCGAAGCAGATTTGAAGCATGTTTGCAGTATGATTGCAGTAGTCTACTGCGCTGGAGTATCTACTTCATTTTCGTGCGGGATATCTCGAAAGAGGGCTTTATTTAAGAGATTTAGTGGCCCTTTTATACACAGACCTAACTTATACATCATTTGTAAGACCAAAGACTGCTGGACAAAATTGCCATGATGTGGAAATGACAAATGTTTACTTGGATATATGTAACCATAGAAACGCACAGAATCCAAGATGAACGTCGTGGTTTCTGCAATATTTTTACTTAACAAGACACAAATAATTGATCATCGTATCTAGTTCGATCGATAAGTATGACCTTTTCATCTTTTGGAGAGGGAATTAAGTGTGAGCTACAAAATCCAACATTAGTTGTTCCAAAAAAGTGAAGCAGAAAGATTAAAACAGCTTCACCTCATTTACAGGTGGTCTGACGAATATATACCATGCCTTGTGGCATTGTAACATTCAACTTGGTTACATCTCTGGCAATCGCCTAGTCTGGATAATGACTGATGGATACTATACTTATGGGGATGACCCAAGACCCTTGGCCACGCTTATGAAGAAGAAAGGTACGCACTACCACTACTGCCAAGATAGAGTGTCTATTGCCTAAAACGAATGCTGTCGGTTAACATTAACCCATTAAAAGATTCGAGGAAGCCGGGTGGCCAGTAATTAATGTACTTTAATTGATTTTATTCTGCACGTTTTCCCTTCTGTATATACTATAAACACTTGTTTCTCCCAATTTCAGGAATTATCATATGTATCGTTGCTATTGGTGACAATGTTGACTGGAGTGTAATCAACGCCATGGCCTCGTGGGTGTACATTCCGAACATCGGTCGCACTGTGCAATGCGTTATGAGGTACCAAACCTGTACGGCCTATTTACTTGCCTCGTATCCTTTGCTGATACGGGTACCATAGCCGGGACTTCCCACCGCCCAGCCTGTTACCTAAATCTGTAGACAGGAGTAAAGTTGCAAATTTGGTAGCTTATTTCTGATCACTCTCTATGGCAACTGACGTATCGCATGCTGTGGATATATTTCGACTTACTTCTCCGTTGAACTCTTGAATTCACAGACAAATCTAGATATTCCAATGGTGATGATTAATTTATAATCCTTTTTTGCGTAGGACATTTCGATAGGTCGTTTCTTTAAGGAGTTGGTTTTAAGACCTTTAGTGGCATATCTATATATTTGCAAACTTATGTTTTTTTAATATATATTTTAATGTAATTTGGTGTACCCCGGTACACATTTTACAATTTAAATATACAATTTATATACAATTGTTTTGTTATATGGCTACGAGGATGGGTTGCAACTGTTTATCCTTTAATCACCGTCTCGACATGCGTGATCACAAAAATATCCCATAAAATATCCCATTCTATCTTGTCTTTTCACTATTCAGTATCTCCTTTTGAGGTAGAAGAGAATATCAACTCCAATGCGTTATGCTCAAAATCCAGTTTGCATTTGTTTTAAACGTGATGGAAAAAATGCATTTTGACTGTGAAATAAAAAAATCAAATCAAAATTTAAATGTTATTTTCCATCCTTGTCTAGTGTTAGGACAATTTTCAACTCGTTTACTCTTGAGGAAGTTATCTTGCACTCAGTAAGTTGTTTCGTTATTACTAACTAGGTTTTACTTTATATACCACTTGCAAATAACGGAGGCGCACGTAGGCCATTAACTTAACAACATACACCCTTCTTAGCCTATGCGATGGTGAGTCTAGATATTAACGTGACCCCATTTGGCTGCCATATGAACACGAACGTTACTGTGACATCAACGTTCGTCGTCTCACATTTCGGCCGTTAGAATGGAAAGTAATGATTTGCACAGCAGAGATATCCAAATACCACCAAACTCATGTTCTTGCCTTGATTAAAAAAAAAAGGTTGAAATTGAAGATATGACAACGATCTTGTCTTATTCATTCCTATGCTGTCCCCATGCACAGGTCCTATGCTGCACAGGTCATACCTATTCTCAGTTGCATTAAAAGTAAACTTCCCAGAAACGCGTTAGTTTGTCCTTCACTAATACACTTTAAGATCCCCAAACACCTTTAATCTTAGTTTTGTGAGACAGAATGTTGGTTCTTTAATGCATGGTATTCGAAATTCACAGCGTTACACGTTATTTACAAGTGGTGTATAAAGTAAAATCAAGTTAGTAATAACGAAACAACTTATTGAGTGCTAGATAACTTCCTCAAGAGTAAACGGGTTGAAAATTGTTTGAACACTAGACAAGGATGGAAAATATCAAAAGTATTTAAAATTTGATTGGATGTATTATTTCACAGTCAAAATGTTTTTTTTTTTCATCACGTTTAAAACAAATGCAAACTTGATTTTGAGCATGACGCATTGGAGTTGATATTCTAGATTTTTAATTAAAAAAATAAAAGACTCATAGAAATTACCTTAAAAGGAGATACTGAACGGTGAAAAGAGATGTAGAATGGGGTATTCTTGTGATCACGCATGTCGAGACGGTGATTAAAGGATAAACAGTTGCAATCCATCCTCGTAGCCATATAACAAAACAATTGTATATAAATTGCATATTTAAATTGTAAAATGTGTACCGGGGTACACCAAATTACATTAAAATATATATAAAAAAAACATAAGTTTGCAAATATCTAGATATGCCACTTATGGTCTTGAAACCAACTTAAAGAAACGGCCTATCGAAATATCCTACGCAAAAAAAGGGTTTATAAATGAATCATCACCATTGGAATACCTAGATTTGTCTGTGAATTCAAGAGTTCAACGGAGCAGTAAGTCGAAATATATCCACAGCATGCGATACGTCAGTTGCCATAGAGAGTGATCAGAAATAAACTACCATATTTGCAACTTTACTCCTGTCTACAGATTTAGGTAACAGACTGGGCGGTGGGAAGTCCCGGCTATGTACCCGTATCAGCAAAGGTTACGAGGCAAGTAAGTAGGCCGTACAGGTTTGGTACCTCATAACGCATTGCACAGTGCCACCGATGCTCGGAATGTACACCCACGAGGCCATGGCGTTGATTACACTCCAGTCATTGTCACCAATAGCAACGATACATATGATAATTCCTGAAATTGGGAGAAACAGGTATTTATAGTATATACAGAAGGGAAAACGTGCAGAATAAAATCAATTAAAGTACATTAATTACTGGCCACCCGGCTTCCTCGAATCTTTTAATGGGTTAATGTTAACCGACAGCATTCGTTTTAGCCAATAGACACTCTGCCTTTGGAGTAGCGGTAGTACGCACCTTTCTTTTTCAAAAGCGTGGCCAAGGGTCTTGGGTCATCCCCATAAGTATAGTACCCATCAGTCATTATCCAGACTAGGCGATTGCCAGAGATGTCACCAAGTTGAATATAACAATGTACCAAGGCATGGTATATATTCGTCAGACCACCTGTTAATGAAGTGAAACTGTTTCAATCTTTCTGCCTCGATTTTTAGGAACAATTAATATTGAATTTTGTCGCTCACACTTAATTCCCTCCCCAAATATGAAAAAGGTCGAACTAGATACGATGATCAATTTTTTTCTATCTAAAGAAAAAAATTGCAGAAACCACGACTGCCATCTTGGATTCTGTGCGTGTCTATGGTTACATACATCCAAGTAAACATTTGCCTTTTCCACATCATGGCAATTTTGTCCAGCAGTCTTTGGTCTTACAAATAATGTACAAGTTAGGTCTGTGTATAAAAGGGCCACTAAATCCCTTAAATAAAGCCCCTTTTCGAGATATGCCGCTCACCCATGAACGCGCATCTGTGTGTGACTGTGCACTTGCGTCCATACGAGTGCGTGCATATTATGACCTGTGGCCTTATGTCCCACACGGGACGAAGAGCATTGATGATGATATTATGACCTGCAATGATATTTGCACAATAGTGGGGCCTACCTTCTTTCAGCACAGCAGCAATAGCCGCATCATTGGCAGAGTAGTTTTCATGGTAACCCAGAGGAAAGATGAGCCTTGCCCTGGTAGAGAAACGTACGTACCAGAGCGATCCTATGTTTTCCAGGGACTATGCTATTCGGAGTGGGGGTGTTGTTGATAATTGCAAGGATATTCTGAAGCAAGACTTATTTAAAGATAAATCAAATGTTTTGCTTTGCGTTGCACAAATGTGTAAAAAAAAAAAAAAGAAAAAAACACGTATATGTATCGTTGTTTTTGTACTGTCTATATATCTAGCAATCAATATATCTATATATCTATCTATCTAACATGGTTATTCAAAACAGATTTGTTTTCTAATTTAATGTTAGTAACTGGATTATAATTATAAAGATACAGAAATATGTGCTCTCAAATTCCCCAGCAAACTACAAGCTAAATTGTTTATTATAGTGGAGCCAGTTTATCCTACCCTGGTCGATGACTTGGAGCAAGACCATTCAGAGCTGCTTATGCTGTCGCTGCTGTCCAAAGCAAACACCACATTCCAGTAGGGTGGAGCACCGCCCATCAGAGCTTGTATGACTTGGTGAGGCGTGAGAGCCTCAGAGCCCAGACCATTGAAGGCGATTCCAACAGCAACCAGCAGAACCAGAGCGGCTAACTTCATCTTCAGCGACGGCAAGAACTTGGTGGACGTGGAGATGATAGAGGAGCAGCTACCTCGAATTTTTGACATAGAGACAGACGTACAAACAAATACTTAAAGGAAAAAGCAACCTGCACTTACTCACACAGGTTGCATTCATTATATTTTATTTCCGTCTATGGACCAATCGGCTTACCTCACTCTGAATGTTATTTTCACACATTTCTTTTTAGTGCAAATACGTGCTTCTATGGCTTACTTTAACCTTGATAACGACATTGTAACAGTTAATACGAGAAAATTATAATAGGGATTCTTTACGACGTGGACATACATTTGTATTGCTAAGTTAACATTGCTCCCATTGACACCTGTTCCCTAGATACATAGAAAGAAAAGAAAGCATGCTATTTGAATTGTAGTTGAATACTCCACTTTAAAATGTATAAAACACTCACAGATTATTTATCATAGCATTATCACATTACATAATCAGGTTAATAAAAATTGCGCGATACGAAAGCCTAGTGCAATATAAACTGAATCTATCAAAAGACATTTACGAAGTTCGTACAAGAAAATTAAAGGGCGATGCCAATTTTTGCACCAAGGATTTGGAAAGAACGACATGAAAACAAAATTTGAAAAGCGTTTTAATCACACACATTCGTTATTATTATTATTATTATTATTATTATTATTATTGTTATTATTATTATTTCACATATAATCACACATAGCAGCCCAATACCACCAAGTTGGAAGTAAGAAATCTAAACATCTTGTTCTTTAGCTATCTCATAGCTCTCCACATCTTATTTTTTTCTGCAAACTTATGCACATGTAAGCGCATGTTGATGTAACATTGTCCTGAATTAAACATAAGCACATCAGAAAATAGTCGGAATTACTAAAATATATGCATTTTATATTGCATGCCATGCATATAAAATGACTCTTGTTGTCGTTTTTTTAAATGGTAAACAGCAACCAAAGTCATTTAATTTCTATTAGAAGCCCTGGATGCCCATATAAAAACACGTATTACTATGTGAATTTCGAATGCCATGTATTAAAGCGCGAACAAAATATTCTGTCTCCAAAGATTAAAGACCATTTTCGGGAAGGGTGTATATTACACTAGATCGAATTGGGAATAGTTATGCCCTTTGTGGCCCGTGCAAGATACCTGGTAACAAAAACGGGTTGTCATCTTTGAAAGTCTAACAAAATACATGTATTCCTATGTGTTGGATTACAATGGGGATGCTTTCACGTAATACAGTAGAAGATGGATTTGTCTTTTTACAACAAACAATTTTGTGTTTCCAAACAATGCTGTGTATTTTCAACTTTTTAATTCCTAGACGAAAATGACACTAAAACATCTGGGACACAGACTTATCAGTCTGTTTTGTAGTCTGTTATTTCAGGTATCGTTTACAGCACACGCACTAGAGAAAAACAAAAACGATCTTTGTTGAAAATTTTGATGGGTAAAGAAAACGGTTTGTTGTGCATTAAAGTCGTTTCCGTTTTGAATTTCTGTACAATGTATTATCTCCCAAACACGTGAACTATACAAATAATTCAATTTCGGGATTAAAATATATATATACAGCACTCTCTGCTTTTCATAAAATGACAATATGTGAGGAAACCCCTGTCATCTGAGTTTGCAATCACAGATGATTAGAAAAAATCCTGTTCTGTCTCCTTCAGACACGCACGACAGCGAAAACACAGCCAGCTTGAAGTCTCGCTTCCCCATTCAGTCAGATACGGCCAAGGGAGCTGGCGTAAATAGTTGAAATTTCCATTGATGGCGTAATGACCCGGTCACTTGAATATTAATTGAGATTCATTCAATAAGCTATATCCGACCATATTCCCACTTTTTGGTGTGTAACTCACGAAAATGGATTATATGTCATCGCTGTGTTACCGCCGTTTCACGATCGCAGCGTTTTTTCCCAACTGTGTGAAGTTAAGTTTACTCTTCCCTGATAATTTTTATATGCCATGATATCACCACTGGAGGTAAACACACACTTAAAATGACCATAACAATACCCATAGCCGAGACTCACAGGAATCTCGGTCATGGCACCTTTTTCAGCATAAAATATGAGGCACGATAGCTATGTCGGGTATTATGTTAATGGTACTGGTAGTGTTCATTAAAGCAATGAGATACATAATGCTGAGACCCAGTTAATTATTAGCTATTGTATTGTTTTATTCAAATTGCAAAATGCACACTGGGGTAGACTAAATTATATTGGAATATGATATAATTAAAATTTTGCAATAGGTTGATTTACTTCTTATGGTCTCAAATTGAAAATTAAAAAAATGAACATTTAGAATTTCTAGATTTAGCTCTGAATACATAAATTCATCTGTAAAGTCATTATTAATAAATTCGCGGCATGTTATACACAGTGTCAAATACGAAGTAACGGGGACAAACTTTTTGCAGCTTTACTCCAGTCTGCAGATTTGGAGAACAGTGTGGGCGACTGGGAGTTTCGGCTATGGTACCACTGTCAGCAAAGGATACGAGGCAAGAAAGTAGGCCTTACAGGTTTGGTAAATAAGGACGCATCTTACATAAATAAAGTAGCCACTGCTAGTTTTGACCCAAATCCACGAGGCAATGGCGTTGATCACAGTCCAGTTGACGTTGTCACCAATAACAACAACACAAATGATAATTCCTGAAATAGGGACGAATATACAGGGCATGCTGCTTAAAGAAAAAACCATAAAGAACAGATTAAAAACAAGCAATCTTAAAAGCATTTAAATATCCTTTGTCCCAACCGCGTTGCATCTTTACTGTTAAATGATTCTATTCGCTTTTTGAAATGAGGCATAATGAACTTGAAGTAGTGCCAGCATGCACATACCTTTTTTCTTCATAACTGCTGCCGTGGGCCTCGGGTCTCCCCCCTTATTATACTGCCCATCAGTCATTATCCAGACTAGGCGTTTGCCAAGGGATCCAAGCTCACCATCACACAACACCAGCGCCTTGTATAGATTCGTCCAATAACCTGTGGGCATAATGAAAAGTATGGGTACAAGATACATGATGTATGGACTCACAGATATTCGCTTAGCCTTATCATACTAACAGGATCGATGTATCTCAGTGGGTAATCTCGCAATCAATATAACCCGCTTAAGCCTCGGTCACAACCGGCCGCACGAGCTCTTACGGGGTGTTTGAGTCCAAATTTTGCGCATAATCTCACGTCCCACGAAAGGCCTTCTTACGCAATTTCGACTTCACAGACAGCCCGTAAGCACATACATGTACGGAGAAATAGCCTGCGAACAGCGAAGCCGCAAGCATAACTTGCTCCCCTCGCACGGGATTAGCAAGAGAAACGCGCGTGGTGCGAGACGCACGTCGCAAGCAAAACTAACGAACAAAGTCGAGAGCACACCGTAAATGCGTCGCACATGCGTCACCCCCACGCCTGGTGTATAAAAGGCGTGCTAACGACGCAAGTTCGTGTCTATACAATGAACCTCGACTGTGTAACATATATTGTACAACAATTTTCAAATATTTCGAATTTTTGCTCAATTTAGTTTCTAATGTGCCTCCAAAAGGCAAGAGAAAGAAGCTTAGATAGCAAACAAAAGAGAGGAGGAAGAAGAAAGAAGAGGAGAACGGGAAGCCAAACTGACTTACGCCACCAGTACGTCATCAAAAAGTGTGAGGCAAGTGTGAAGCAAAACTGACGTAAAAGGGTACTACTTTTGCCGTGCACTGCATTTCCTTCTTAAGTGGTGAGTGTGCCACGCGCGCAGGGAGCAACACAAACTCAAGGAATGGGTGCAATTTCCACGGCCATCGCTCCTTGCAATTAGCGTCCCTGTTTGAAAGGACAACTCATGTAGCCCTTGCAACTCGTAAGGCAGACTATTTTCTACATCTGCGACCTCCACGGCCTCCGAACCCCAAAAATCGCAGGGGACGTACGATCCTGTAATTCGTGCGTTCGGTTGTGACCGAGGCTTTAATTGTCTGGCACGCAAAGCAACATGGGCAAAATCATGGACCACAAAGGTTTCCCACAAGTACCTTTAAGTTACAAGGGGCGTGCCGCTTTCATTGAATGCAATTTAGCGTGGATCCCCAAGGAGTTTGAAAGATCCATTTATAGTACGACGAGTTGTGCGAACGCTCCCAGATAGTAGCAGTGGAGCTGTGTGCATCATGTGTCTGTGTGAAGAGACATCTGTGTGATTGATCTTCGCATGTATATGGATTTAATTACTCGCGCGTGTGTGTGTGTGTGTGAGAGAGAGAAAGATTGTAACAAGTTCACTTGTTATTGCAACCTTACCAACTTTCTCCACGGCGGCAATAGCGGCATCATTGGCAGGGAAGAACGGGTGGGTTCCCATACTGAAGATGACCTGTGTCGGTGTCGTGCTAGAGAATCGTACCAAACCAATCTTGTGTTTAAATATGCTTACACTATTAGGGGCAGGGGTACTGTTGATGATGGCTAGGATGTTCTGAAATAAATATATATTCGAAGTTTAAACTAAATGTTTGTTTGTTATGAGTTTACAAAAATCTCAGAAGGAAACGTTGCACAATGTAGATAATTAAAAATATTTGGTTTTAATGATCACTTTCCTAAAAGACATACTTCACAGGAAAACTAATTTTCCTGAAGTTATTATCAAAAATCACATTGTCTTGTTTACAAATGCTAACATGTAAAAAAAAAATCCATGGTTTCTTTCTAATCAACGTGACTTTATACATACAGAATAGTGGACAGAAAATATATTTAAAAAATACACATAAAAGTTTCCAAGCAAAATGCTGACTTATTTGTTAATAAAGTCTTTGCAAAATGATCAAAGGTAGTCTCTCTGACCCTGGTCGATGACTTTGAGCACGACCACTCAGAATCGCTAATGCTGCCGCTGCTGTCCAATGCAAAACAAACTTTCCAGTAGGGAGGAGCGCCGCCCATCAGAGCTTGGATGACTTGGTGAGGTGAGAGAGCCTCGGAGCCTAAACTAGTGAAGGCGATTCCAACAGCAACCAGCAGAACCAGCGCAGCTAACTTCATCTTCAGTGACGGCAGGAACTTGGTCCACGTGGAGATAATAGAAGAGAGCTACCTCGGTTCTTTTACAGAAAGACGGAAATCCAAACAGATATTTATACAGAACAGTAACTTGCAATTACTCAGACAAATTGCAGTCACAGTGAATTATTTCCGTGTATGGGCCAATCACTCTGAGTGTTATTTTCAAACGTAACTTATTTCCGCAAAAGTACCTGTTTTCATGACCCACTTTAACTTCGAGGACCACGTGATAGCAGTTTGTACACGGCAATGATCAGGTACTCCTAAGACATTAATCATTTGTCTAGGTAAACATTGCCTTTTTGACATTTATCACACAGATTCGTGGAAAGAATGCGAATATGAATTGCAATTGGATACTTTACTTTAAAAGGTATTGCATAATCAGAAGATTATGAACTATTGCGTGAAACGAGAAACTTGTGGAATGTTTGCTCTCGAATGAAAAAGTATTTAGACGTTAATACTTGGAAGGAAACATACATAAGTGATCAATGATATTCCCTGAATAAAGGAAGCATGGAGGAAGGAAGGGGCGCCTTGTGCACAAAAAAAAAAAAAAAAAAAAAAAAAAAAAAAAAAAAAAAAAAAAAAAAAAAAAAAAAAAAAAAAAAAAAAAAAAAAAAAGAAAAAACTCTCCAACACGCAAATTAGAAAAAGTAGACGTTTTTTAAAACTTTCATGAAAATATTACTGACAACAGTGGCGTGCTCGGTTTATTATTATTATTATTATTATTATTATTATTATTATTATTATTATTATTATTATTATTGATATTATTACTTTTTTATTTTTATTATTATTACACAAAGCTGTGGAGTTGGAAAAAAGGAACTCCTTTTTCGGCCATCTTTCTCTCCATCATATTTAGTTTGCACACGAAGCACGAAGTTAAGAACACGTTGCTGAAACAGTGTTCTGAATAAAACATAAACATGTATCAGAAAATAGCTGGTATTGAAAGAAAATATACATATAATTGCATATATATACATAAATTATTTGTCGTTTTCCCAGGCAGTAAACAACCACCGACATCCCTTTATATCTTTCACAAGCCCTGGGTGTGCATATGAAAACATTTGAACTTCTAATACTAAATCATTGCCTGGGTTTTCCGTCCACAAGTAATGCAATAGAGTGATGATCATGTTTTGTAAAATTATTATGCAAATAGTAAATAATTGTGCTAGGTGAAGGGTAACACGTTATGTTAAATTCCATTGAGAAATGCTATGCTCCAAAAGGGTTTGAACACGCATAAGAATGAATGCCACAAGGTCGTTCTCATATCATAAATGTTGGCCCATGACCTCTATCAAGTCAAGAAGAGGAATTTGATGGTATGATGGTACTTGTATATATTTACATCGCAAAACATTCAAAACAAATAATTACTGGAAAACTCTTTAATTGGTAAACTGAACTTCTTACACGTTTAAGGTATAATCCAATGATCTATGACAAGGACTAAAATGGTGTATGAAAAAAAGAATGAATTATTATTATTATTATTATTATTATTATTATTATTATTATTATTAGTGTTGTGGCGTTTTAATTCTCCTGAGAAATCCCTACATATCCATGGTCGCGGTTTTTAATTTTGCAGACATATCTTTAATCCACTCATATCTTTGATTCAATATTTTAAGATCTCACTCATTTTGCACACGCTGCACTCAGGCAACCACAAGTTGAAGGAATGGTGTCCTGAATTAAACAAGATTTTACGCTGCCATTTTCCTATAGAGTGCATGGACTATCATGTAGATCTGCTGGGTGTAATGCAGAGACTCCGCCGTTTTTTCCTTTATTACAAGGACGTCCTCAGGAAACTAGCATTACGTAGTATACAGTCGACACTGCTAGCCGCATTGCCGTCGTTACTTAGCAGTCGACACGGAATCCACATGTGTGTGACAGAGTATCCCCTATGATAGAGTCAGCTTCCCTTTAATTTATACAAATAAGCCTCGCCCTAGATATCGACCCACTTAGGTCAGACAAGCCCTAAACAAAATAACTATATGGAAGGCGGACCTTCTTTTACACGGACACTTAGTTTAGTTACAACGGGCCCTGGCGGAGATTCCGTGCCGACTGTCACGTGACGATTGCAATAAAGCGACGATATAAACGTTACGAATAAAACAAAAGGCAGATCATGAATTAATTTTAGTAGAGAAACTCTCCTATGATTTCGTGAAATAAACATTTATAAATTAAGGTACGCATTTTACAAAGCATATAGAAAGCTGTTGAATATATATAACAGGCTTCAATGAAAGAAATCATGATATTACCACTGGAGGGTAACCCACACTTAAAAGGTCGGATGAAAGGTGAAATTCACTGGTAGTTTAAGTACAGTAATAGCAATAATAGTTATAAGCTCCTATAGTGTTTTATTCAAATTGCTCAGTGTGTACTGGTGTACACTAAATTACATAGGGACAGAAGGAAGTTATACATGTGCAAATTTCTTGATTTACTGCTAATGCTCTCAAATTGAAAAGTGACAGGTTTTGAACATGTTTCATTTCTATGTTTAACTCTGAAAACATAAATTCGTCAGTAAAGTCATAATAAATACATTCACATCTTGTGATACTCAGTTCCAAATATCGTAGGAATTAACGGAAACAAACATTTGCAGCTGGACTCCTGTCTGCATATTTAGGGAGCAGCCTTTGTAACGGGAATTACTGTTGTTTGATTCACCCGTGGCAGTGTAGGATAATATATCAGTGACGCACGATAATAGGCCGCACAGGTGTGGTACCTCATAACGCATTTCACCCAACGACGGAGGCTCGGGATATACACCCAAGAGGCAATGTCGTTGATCACAGTCCAGTTGACATTGTCGCCAACAGCCACGACGCAAATTATTATTCCTGAAATAATGACGAAGACGTGTATTCATGCAGCAGAAAAAATAATAAAGAACAGAATGCATTCAGAATAATGATAAAAATAAAGGCCCTTGTCCCAGTTTTCCCGATCTTAAATGTTTATAATGACAGCATTTGTTTAAGGTAGACAGCCTATATCCTTGATGTCTAGTTTTAAAATTACCTTTCCTTTTCATAACATTTGCCCTGGGCCTCGGGTCACCCCCATAATTATAGCCCCCATCAGTCATTATCCAGACTAGGCGTTTTCCAGAGGCACCGAGCTGAATACTACACAACGCCAAAGCATGATTTACATTCGTCAGACCACCTGCAAATAATGTGAACTTGTTTTTACTGTGTCTAAAAGACAGCCAAGTATAAAGATTGGATATAATCTCCTCAATGATTCTGCACAATTATTTGATAAATTGATAAAGAAGTCGAATTTTACATAACACTGTTTGTGTTTCAGTCTGTGTGCGTGTGCCTGATATACCTGTACACATTTATGTGTGAGATAATACACTGTCACCCTCTCGCGATATATGCCATAACACCTCTCGCGTCTCGCGTCAGCGAGAGGTGTTCATGGCATATATCGCGAGAGGGTGACAGTGTATTATTTGACATGCATACCGAGAAAAAAAAACAGTCATTTCTTAAAACACCCCTAAACCCGAATAAAGTGACCCTATATCACGCTCTAGAGATGTTATACGAAAAAAACTCGTCCACGTGCGTTAGTCATCTCCCGCCAAATTCTTACGTAATGTCTGACCAATTTGGTCAATTTTTGCTAAATACTTGTCGTGGACGTTCAACTGGCCTGAAAGGCACTTAATCAACTGATTTAACCAAGATGTAGTCGTGAAATTCTAGACTAAATCGAGGTTAAATCCGAGTTTTCCGAGAGACGCTAAGCAGAAATGTCGAGTGAAGCGAGACATTTTTGGTAGCGGCTCGAGGTTGCCCTTGATCTTCACTGAAGCTTGGCTAATTGGCCAGGCTTCAGTGAGCATCATATCGCCACGGTCATATAACATCCCTAGGTATGTATATATATATGAAATCAATGCAAGGGCGTGGGTGCCAGTCTTATCTAACATAGGCGTGCCTGAGCGAATGTGTGTGTGTGTGTGTGTGTGTGTGCGTGTGTGTGTGTTTGTGACAAGTTCACAGTATATTAAATATTATGAGGTAAATTTTGTTTTGAATGCTTTGACCCTACCCGACCCTTTCGGCACGGCGGCAATAGCCGCAGCATTCTGTGGGTAGAACGGGTGAGTCCCCAGGGCGAAGATGAGCTGTGCCCAGGTAGAGAAGCGTACCAGACCGATCCTATGTTTCAAAGGTGCTATACTATTCGGGCCAGGAGTGTTGTCGATGATGGTAAGGATGTTCTGAAACACATTTTATATGAAGGTAAATCAAATCGTTTGCTATGTGTACGTACAAGTTGCACGAATGTCTAAAAAGAAACATTAGTAAATCTGGGCTATAATAAGCAAACGCTTTTAGCAGCTTTTCCAAGCGGATGCTTGCCAGGAAAACCCATTTCAGTGAACATGCTCACATATCTCATTATTGTGCATGCATAGTTATACATTTCACATTGCTACAAAAACTAGATTTGTTTCATTATATATTTGGTGTTAGTGATAGCAGTTGAAAGGAAGAAAAGGCAAAAATAAACTAATTTCTTAATAAAATCGCAGCCAGTGTATCTTACAATGGTCGAAGATTTGGAGCACGTCCACTCAGAGTTACTTATGCTGCCGCTGCTGTCTAAAGCAAACATCACTTTCCAGTAGGGAGGAGCACCGCCCATAAGAGCTTGTATGACTTGGTGAGGTGTGAGAGCCTCTGAGCCCAGATCATTGAAGGCGATTCCAACAGCAACCAGAAATACCAGCGCAGCTAACTTCATCTTCAGTGACGACAGGAACTTGGTGGACGTGCAGATGGTAGAACAGAGCTCACTCGGTTCTTTAACAGAAAGACGGAAATCCAAACAGATATTTATACAGAACACTAACTTGCACTTACTGGGACAAATTGCAGTCACAATGATTTATTTCCATGTATGGGCCAATCACTCTGAGTGTTATTTTCAAACGCAACTTATTTCCGCAAAAGTACGTGTTTTTATGACCCACTTTAACTTTGAAGACCACGTGATAGCAGTTTGTACACGGCAATGATCAGGTACTCCTAAGACAGTGATCATTTGTCGAGGTAAACATTGTCTTTTTGACATTTATTACACAGATTCGTGGAAAGAATGCGAATATGAATTACATTTGGGTACGTTGCTTTAAAAGGTATTGCATAATCAGAAGATTATTAACTATTGCGTGAAACGAGAACCTGGTGGAGTGTTTGCTCTCGAATTAAAGAGCATTTAGACGTTAATACTTGGAAGGAAACATAAATAAGTGAGCAATGATATTCCCTGAATAAAGAAAGCATGGAGGAAGGAAGGGGCGCCTTGCGCACAAAAAATAAATAAATAAATAAATAAATAAATAAATAAATGTCTCCAACACGCAAATTAGAAAAAGTAGACGTTTTTTAAAACTTTCATGAAAATATTACTGGCAACAGTGACGTACTCGGTTTTTGATATTTATTATTATTATTATTATTATTATTATTATCATTATTATTTTTATTAATGATATTATTACATTTATTATTATTATTATTATTATTATTATTATTATTATTACACAAAGACTGTGAAGTTGGAAAAATGAAGCCTTCTTCGGCCATCTTTTTGCTCTCTCCATCATATTTAGTTTGCACACGAAGCACGAAGGTAAGCACACGTGCTGTGACAGTGTTTTGAATAAAACATAAACAAGTATCACAAAAAAGCTGGTAGAAAGAATATATACATATAATTGCATACATATACAATAAATTATTATGTCGTTTTCCCAAGCAGTAAACAACCACCGACATCCCTTTATATCTTTCACAAGCCCTGGATGTGCATATGAAAACATGTGAACTTCTAATACTAAATCATTGCCTGAGTTTTCCGTCCACAAGTAATGCAATAGAGTAATGATCATGTTTTGTAAAAATATTATGCAAATAGTAAATAATTGTGCTAGGTGAAGGGTTACGCGTTATTTTAAATTCCATTGAGAAATGCTATGCTCCAAAAGGGTTTGAACATGTATAAGAATGAAAGCCACAAGGTCGTTCTCATATCATAAATGTTGGCCTATGACCTTTATCAAGCCAAGAAGAGGAAATTGATGGTATGATGGTACTTGTATATATTTACATCGCAAAACATTCCAAATATAGTACGAATTAACGGAAATACAATCAGCACAGTTGGACTCCTGTGTGCATATTTAGGGAACAGCCTGTGTGACGGGAAGCACTGGCTGTTGCACCGGTGACAGTATAGGTTATATCAGTGAGGCACGATAATAGGCCGTACAGGTGCGGTAGCTCATAACACATTTCACAGTACGACGGAGGCTCGGGATATACACCCAAGAGGCAATGCCGCTGATCACAGTCCAGTTGACATTGTCGCCAACAGCAACGACGCAAATGATTATTCCTGAAATAATAACAAAGACGCGTATTTATACAGTAGAAAAAAGAATAAAGAACAAAATATCTTCAGAATAATGATAAAAATAAAGACCCTTGTCCCAACTTCCCCGATCTTAAATGATTATAATGACAGCTTTTGTTTAAGGTAGACAGCCTATATCCTTGATGTCTAGTCTTAGTACATACCATTCTTTTTCATAGTATCTGCCCTGGGCCTCGGGTCACCCCCATAATTAAAGCGTCCATCAGTCATTATCCAGACTAGGCGTTTTCCAGAGGTACCAAGCTGAATACTACACAACGCCAAAGCATGATTTATATTCGTCAGACCACCTGTAAATAATGTGAACCCGTTTTCACCTTTCTATTAAATATGTTTAAAACACATGCGGTTTAGTGCCACGCAGCACGTACAGCAAAGTAAAGGGGTTGGAAACAAATGAAAGTAAACAATCTCCTCAGTGATTCTACACGATATTTTGATAAATTGATAAAGAGGTCGAACTTTACATAACACTGAGTTTTTCAGTCTGTGTGCGTTTGCCTGACATACCCGTTCATGTTTATATATCTGAAAGCACGCGCGTGGGTGCCAGTCTTTTCTATCATAGGTGCACCTGAGCAAGTATGTGTGTGTGTGTGTGTGTGTGTGTGTGTGTGTGTGTACGTGTGTGTGTGTGTAACAAGTTCACAGTATNGCTAAGGGATTGCATAATCAGAAGATTATTAACTATTGCGTGAAACGAGAACCTGGTGGAGTGTTTGCTCTCGAATTAAAAAGCATTTAGACGTTAATACTTGGAAGGAAACATAAATAAGTGAGCAATGATATTCCCTGAATAAAGAAAGCATGGAGGAAGGAAGGGGCGCCTTGCGCACAAAAATAAATAAATAAATAAATAAATAAATAAATAAATAAATAAATGTCTCCAACACGCAAATTAGAAAAAGTAGACGTTTTTTAAAACTTTCATGAAAATATTACTGGCAACAGTGACGTACTCGGTTTTTGATATTTATTATTATTATTATTATTATTATTATTATTATTATTATTTTTATTAATGATATTATTACATTTATTATTATTATTATTATTGTTATTATTATTATTATTATTATTACACAAAGACTGTGAAGTTGGAAAAATGAAGCCTTCTTCGGCCATCTTTTTGCTCTCTCCATCATATTTAGCTTGCACACGAAGCACGAAGGTAAGCACACGTGCTGTGACAGTGTTTTGAATAAAACATAAACATGTATCACAAAAAAGCTGGTAGAAAGAATATATACATATAATTGCATACATATACAATGAATTATTATGTCGTTTTCCCAAGCAGTAAACAACCACCGACATCCCTTTATATCTTTCACAAGCCCTGGATGTGCATATGAAAACATGTGAACTTCTAATACTAAATCATTGCCTGAGTTTTCCGTCCACAAGTAATGCAATAGAGTAATGATCATGTTTTGTAAAAATATTATGCAAATAGTAAATAATTGTGCTAGGTGAAGGGTTACACGTTATGTTAAATTCCATTGAGAAATGCTATGCTCCAAAAGGGTTTGAACACGTATAAGAAAGAATGCCACAAGGTCGTTCTCATATCATAAATGTTGGCCTATGACCTCTATCAAGTCAAGAAGAGGAATTTGATGGTATGATGGTACTTGTATATATTTACATCGCAAAACATTCAAAACAAATAATTACTGGAAAACTCTTTAATTGGTAAACTGAACTTCTTACACGTTTAAGGTATAATCCAGTGATCTATGACAAGGACTAAAATGGTGTATGAAAAAAAGAATGAATTATTATTATTATTTTTATTATTATTGTTATAATAATAATAATAATTATTATTATTATTATTATTATTATTAATATTATTAGTGGTGTGGCGTTTTAATTCTCCTGAGAAATCCCTACATACCCATGGTCGCGGTTTTTAATTTTGCAGACATATCTTTATCTCATTCATATCTTTCATTCAACATTTTAAGATCTCACTCATTTTGCACACGCTGTACTCAGGTAAACACAAGTTGAAGAAAGGGTATCCTGAATTAAACAAGATTTGACACTGCCATTTTCTTAAAGAGTGCATGGACTGTCACGTAGATCTGCTGGGTGTAATGCAGGAACTCCGACGTTTCTTCCTTTATTACGAGGACATTCTCAGGAAACTGTCACTATATGTACGTAGTATACAGTCGACATTGCCGTCGTTACTTGGCATTGAACACGAAATCTCAATGTGTGGGACCGTGTAAAGTGACAGAGAATCCCCCATGATATAGAGTACGTTTCCCATTCATTTGTATAAGTAATCCTCGCCCTAGATATTGACCTACTTAGGTCAGACAAACCCTAAACAATATAACTATATGGAGGGCGGACTTTCTACTACACGGAAACTTAGCTTCGTTACACCGGGCCCTGGAGGTGATTCCGTAACGATTGTCACGTGACGACTGTAATAAAGCGACAATATAAACGTTCCGAATAAAACAAAACGCATATCTTTGATCATGGTCATAATTTGATTTAGTAGAGAAACCTGCCTTTGGTATCGTGAAATGAACATTAATAAATTAAGATCGGCATTTTTCAAAGCATATAGAAAGCTGTTGAATGGTTTTAATTATAAAACATGCTTCAATGAAACAAATCGTGATATTTACCACTGGAGGAAAACCCACACTTTAAATGTCGGATAATAGGTGAAGTTTACAGGTAGCTTAAGTACAGAAATAGCATATTTAAGACCGAACCCCAATTGTAAGCTATTAGATTGTTTTATTCAAATTGCTGGATGTGTAATGGTGCACTCTAAATTACTGGAACATTGGAACATAAGTAAATCGCACAGGTGCAACTGTCTAGATGTATTGATTATTGTTTCACATTGAAAATCAAAAGAAATTAAACAGCTGAAATGTGTACACTTAACACTGAATACACAAATTCACCAGTAAATTAATAATTTATACATTCACAGCTTTTGATACTCAGTTCCAAATATAGTACGAATTAACGGAAATACAATTAGCACATCTGCAGTTGAACTCCTGTCTGCATATTTAGGGAACAGCCTGTGCGACGGGAAGTACTGGCTGTTGCACCGGTGACAGTATATGTTATATCAGTGAGGCAAGATACTAGGCCGTACAGGTGCGGTAGCTCATAACACATTTCACAGTACGACGGAGGCTCGGGATATACACCCAAGAGGCAATGCCGCTGATCACAGTCCGGTTGACATTGTCGCCAACAGCAACGACGCAAATGATTATTCCTGAAATAATAACAAAGACGCGTATTTATACAGTAGAAAAAAGAATAAAGAACAAAATGTCTTCAGAATAATGATAAAAATAAAGACCCTTGTCCCAACTTCCCCGATCTTAAATGATTATAATGACAGCTTTTGTTTAAGGTAGACAGCCTATATCCTTGATGTCTAGTCTTAGTACATACCATTCTTTTTCATAGTATCTGCCCTTGGCCTCGGGTCACCCCCATAATTAAAGCGTCCATCAGTCATTATCCAGACTAGGCGTTTTCCAGAGGTACCAAGCTGAATACTACACAACGCCAAAGCATGATTTATATTCGTCAGACCACCTGTAAATAATGTGAACCCGTTTTCACCTTTCTATTAAATATGTTTAAAACACATGCGGTTTAGTGCCACGCAGCACGTACAGCAAAGTAAAGGGGTTGGATATAAATGAAAGTAAACAATCTCCTCAGTGATTCTACACGATATTTTGATAAATTGATAAAGAGGTCGAAATTTACATAACACTGAGTTTTTCAGTCTGTGTGCGTTTGCCTGACATACCCGTTCATGTTTATATATCTGAAAGCACGCGCGTGGGTGCCAGACTTTTCTATCATAGGTGCATCTGAGCAAGTGTGTGTGTGTGTGTGTGTGTGTGTGTGTGTGTGTGTAACAAGTTCACAGAATAGTAAATATTACGAGCTAAATTTTGCTTTCAATGCATTGACCTTACCCGGCCCTTTCGGCACGGCGGCAATAGCTGCATCATTCTGTGGGTAGAACGGGTGAGTCCCCAGGGCGAAGATGACATATGCCCAGGTAGAGAAGCGTACAAGACCAATCTTATGTTTCCAAGGTGCAATACTATTCAGGCCAGGAGTGTTGTTGATGATGGCAAGGATGTTCTGGAACACGATTTATATGAAGGTAAATCAAATCGTTTGCTATGTGTTGCATGAGTGTCTAAAAAGAAACATTAGTGAATCTGGGCTATAATAAGCAAAAGCTTTTAGTAGCTTTCCCAAACGGATGCTTGCCAGGAAAACCCATTTCAGTGAGCTTATTCACATATCTTATCATTGAGCACGCATACTCAACATTGCTATAAAACCTAGGTTTGTTTAATAAAATATTTGGTGTCATTGATGGCAGTTGAAAGGGAGTAGTGGGGAAGAAAATATAAGCCAAAAATAAACTAAATTCTTAATAAAATACGGAGCCAGTGTATCTTACCCTGGTCGAAGATATGGAGCACGACCACTCAGAGTAACTTATGGCGCCGCTGCTGTCTAAAGCAAACATCACTTTCCAGTAGGGAGGAGCGCCGCCCATCAGAGCTTGGATGACTTGGTGAGGTGTGACAGCCTCGGAGCCTAAACCAGTGAAGGCGATTCCAACAGCAACCAGCAGCATCAGCGCAGCTAACTTCATTTTCAGTGACGGCAGGGACTTGGTCCACGTGGAGGTGAAAGAAGAGAGCTAACTCGGTTCTTTAACAGAAAGACGCAAATCCAAACAGACATTTATACAGAACACTAACTTGCACTTACTGAGACAAATTGCAGTCACAATGATTTATTTCCGTGTATGGGCCAATCACTCTGAGTGTTATTTTCACACGTAAATTATTTCCGCAAAAATTCGTTGATTCCATGACCTACTTTAACTTTGAGAACCACATGACAGCAGTTTGTACACGACAATGACCAGGTACTCCTAGGACATTGATAATTTTTTGAGGAAAACAATGCCTTTTTCTACACTTGTTCCCATCGATTCGTGGAAAATATGTGAATTTGAATTGCAATTGGGTACTTTACTTTTAGAGGTATTGCATAATCAGAAGATTATTTAGTATTGCGTGAAACGAGAGCCTGGTGCAATGGTGTTTGCTCTCAAATAAAAAAAGACATTTAGACGTTAATACTTGGAAGGATTCATAAATAAGTGAACAGTGATATTCTCTGAATAAAGGAAGAACAAAATAAAAACGTCTTCAACACGCAAATTAGAAGAAGTAAACTTTCATGAAAATATTACTGGCAACAGTGACGTACTCGGTTTTTGATATTTATTATTATTATTATTATTATTATTATTATTATTATTATTATTATTTATTTTATAATTGTACAAAGACACAAAGACACCCAATACAGTGAAGTTGGAAAAAGGAAGCCATCTTCGGCCATCTTTAAGCTCTCTCCATCACATTTAGTTTGCACACGAAGCACAAAGGTAAGCACACGTTGTTACAACAGTGTTTTAAATAAAACATAAACAAGTATGAGAAAATAGCTTGTGTTGAGGGAATAAATACATATAATTGCATATATATGTACAATAAATTATTATGTCGTTTTCTCAAACAGTAAACAACCACCGACATCCCTTTATATATTTTATAAGCCCTGGATGTGCATATGAAAACACATATTTTGTGAATTCCTAATACCAAAGCATTGCCTCAGTATTCCGTCCAAAAGTAATGCAATAGAGGGATGTCCATATGTTTTGTAAAATCAATATGGAAAGAGTAAATAATTGTGCTAGGTGAAGGGTTACACGTTATTTTAAATTCCATTGAGAAACGCTATGCTCCAAAGTGGTTTGTACATGTATAAGAATGAATACCCCAATATCGATCTCATATCATGAATTTTGGCCTCTGAACTTCATCGAGTCAAGAACAGAAAAATGAAAAAAAAAGAAAGAAAGAAAGAAATCCAAAACTTCAAAAGAACCCTTATTATAAAATGATGTGATGCAGGGAACCTTACAATTCGCGGATTTCATAGCTTCAATTCCAAAATATTAAATTATTTTTAATTTCTTTTTAATTTATATTATTTTTTTATTCATTTATTTATTTTTTTTTTAATTTTTTTTTGAGACACGATGAGCTATCTTTAATTCGCTAATTTTCGATATTCTAAAGTATGCATTAGTCCTGAAATGAAGAAACATGTAAGGATTCAATTCAGCAGAAAAACGGAGAAATTGTTGAAACTTGCCTTATTTTGTTATGATTTTCCACATTATTCTATGGCCCTGCATTAAATGAATTTAAGATTATGTGGGCCAACCTCTTGATTGCTTCCATGCTGAATGTCGATGTCAAACATGAGCAGTCGATTGGTTAATGGCGCCAGTATATGTATTTATTGGAATTCCATTATTATTTGGAAATACCGTTATCATATAGAAAAGATGAATATCTTTTTAAATAAATTTCGATGTGTGTACTTTTTATAAAATATACCCTAAACAACATCTATCTTATCTACCCTATCCAATTATCCACGCGTAATATTTTTTCTCTGTAAGGCCACACTTTTTTATTTTTATGGATGACATCCTCTGGGGACCCCAAAATCGGTGCGAGCAGGCGAAAAAAAAAACAGTCCAAAAAAAAAAAACTGGTTAAGAAAAGTTATGTTTTCNGGAACTTGGTCCACGTGGAGGTGAAAGAAGAGAGCTAACTCGGTTCTTTAACAGAAAGACGCAAATCCAAACAGACATTTATACAGAACACTAACTTGCACTTACTGAGACAAATTGCAGTCACAATGATTTATTTCTGTGTATGGGCCAATCACTCTGAGTGTTATTTTCACACGTAAATTATTTCCGCAAAAATTCGTTGATTCCATGACCTACTTTAACTTTTAGAACCACATGACAGCAGTTTGCACACGGCAATGACCAGGTACTCCTAGGACATTGATAATTTTTCGAGGAAAACAATGCCTTTTTCTACACTTGTCCCATCGATTCGTTGAAAATATGTGAATTTGAATTGCAATTGGGTACTTTACTTTAAGAGGTATTGCATAATCAGAAGATTATTTACTATTGCGTGAAAGGAGAGCCTGGTGCAATGTTTGCTATCAAATAAAAAAAAGACATTTAGACGTTAATACTTGGAAGGATTCATGAATAAGTGAACAGTGATATTCTCTGAATAAAGGAAGAACAAAATAAAAACGTCTTCAACACGCAAATTAGAAGAAGTAAACTTTCATGAAAATATTACTGGCAACAGTGACGTACTCGGTTTTTGATATTTATTATTATTATTATTATTATTATTATTATTATTATTATTATTATTATTGATATTATTGGTATTATTAATTTTATAATTGTACAAAGACACAAAGACACCCAATACAGTGAAGTTGGAAAAAGGAAGCCTTCTTCGGCCATCTTTTTGCTCTCTCCATCACATTTAGTTTGCACACGAAGCACAAAGGTAAGCACACGTTGTTACAACAGTGTTTTGAATAAAACATAAACAAGTATGAGAAAATAGCTTGTGTTGAGGGAATAAATACATATAATTGCATATATATGTACAATAAATTATTATGTCGTTTTCTCAAAAAGTAAACAACCACCGACATCCCTTTATATATTTTATAAGCCCTGGATGTGCATATGAAAACACATATTTTGTGAATTCCTAATACTAAAGCCTCAGTGTTCCGTCCAAAAGTAATGCAATAGAGGGATGTCCATATGTTTTGTAAAATCAATATGGAAAGAGTAAATAATTGTGCTAGGTGAAGGGTTACACGTTATTTTAAATTCCATTGAGAAACGCTATGCTCCAAAGTGGTTTGTACATGTATAAGAATGAATACCCCAATATCGATCTCATATCATGAATTTTGGCCTCTGAACTTCATCGAGTCAAGAACAGAAAAATGAAAAAAAAAGAAAGAAAGAAAGAAATCCAAAACTTCAAAAGAACCCTTATTATAAATTGATGGGATGCATAGCTTCAATTCCATAGCTTCAATTTCATAGCTTCAATTCCAAAATATTAAATTATTTTTAATTTTTTTTTAAATTTATATTATTTATTTATTAATTAATTAATTTATTTATTTATTTATTTATATATATATATATTTTTTTTTTGAGACACGATGAGCTATCTTTAATTCGCTAATTTTCGATATTCTAAAGTATGCATTAGTCCTGAAATGAAGAAACATGTAAGGATTCAATTCAGCAGAAAAACGGAGAAATTGTTGAAATTTGCCTTATTTGATTGTTATGATTTCCACATTATTCTATGGCCCTGCATTAAATAAATTTAAGATTATGTGGGCCAACCTCTTGATTGCTTCCATGCTGAATGTCGATGTCAAATATGAGCAGTCGATTGATTAATGGCGCCAGTATATGTATTTAGTGGAACTCCATTATTATTTGGAAATACCGTTATCATATAGAAAAGATGAATATCTTTTTAAATAAATTTCGATGTGTGTACTTTTTATAAAATATACCCTAAACAACATCTATCTTATCTACCCTATCCAATTATCCACGCGTAATATTTTTTTCTCTGTAAGGCCACACTTTTTTATTTTTATGGATGACAGCCTCTGGGGACCCCAAAATCGGTGCCAGCCTATCGTATAATTGTAAAAGGGTGATATCTCCATGTCCAATATCAATGGCAAACCAATCCAAAACGACGGCCCCCGTTCTCTTTACGACTTTATTTGTCGTGTATTTTGAAATTAATGCTAGAGATGAATTTGACGGCAAAGCGGCCATATTTCCATGTGGTGATAATACGCATGCGCAGAAAGCTCATTTTCCGCACTCGGAACTACTCGGATGTCACCGCAGTTGACAATGACAGTATGGAGCTTGCGGAATTAGCCGAGGATTGCCGATTGCATTTTCCGGCAAATTCCTTGGGGGGGGGGGAATTTTTTTTTTTTTTTTGGAGAACGGACGAAAATCGGTGCGCGCGCAGGATGTCATCCATAAAAATAAAAAAGTGTGGCCTAATTACGTGATTCCGTGGGGAACTGTAACTTAGAAAACGGCATTATAACAGTTAAAAGCAGATAGTTATCAGGTTTTCCTTGCAAACATAGGACGCATACAGATTCACTGATGGGCATACTCCATATATGGCGTCATCACCCACTTGAAAGAGTGCAGAGATTTAATTGCTCTGTCCCTGCTGTGGCGGCGCACGGAAATCCACTGTCAAATGCGCGTCATACTTGCTAACTTCTGAATGCGCCCATAGACATGTTGCCCAGGTCAACATCTCTCCTATTCACACCGGAATACCCATACCGGTAGGCTCTTGGAAAGTATATGAATTTGAATTGCAAGAAAAATCTAAACTTCAATATTTTTTTTCTCACAGAGATTATTTACCACTGCTTGAAAGCGGGAGTCTGGTGCAATGTTTGCCGTTTCCATTTAAAAGATCGCTTAAGACGTTAGTTCCTGGAAAGTAGCACCAATTATTTAAATGATGTTTTTTGTACAAACGCAATGGGAGGAACAATGTATGGACATGAAAACAGAGACAAAAAATCACAGACAACGAACTTGAGTCACATGGCTCTCATTGTCATATGATTACTCATACCAGTTACGTTTAATACAAGAGCGTTAAAACTGTTTTAAAATAAAACAACCAGTCGTTAGGAGTTTTAAGTGATGCACACTTTATACTATATGCATTATTTGTCTCAATCTGCTAGCTAGGAAAAGGCAGGTAGCATAATAATAATAATAATAATAATAATAATAATAATATATGCAAGGGGTTACTATTAAATAAGTAAATGAATAAATAAAATTGATGCCTAATTTTAGAGTTTGTCGTTTTCATTTAAAAGGCATTTTAAGACGTAAGAACCTTGAAACTAACACCGATTATTGCAATGATGGTCTTTGTACCAGAGCAGTGGAAGGATCAACGTATTAACATTAAACCAGACGCAAATATCATAGACGTCTCTATCACGCAAATTAAAGAAATCCACGTTTTATCAAATTTCAATCGTGATAATGACTTTTGTACTAAGACGACTGGAAGACTCTTTAATTGGTAAACTGAACTTCTTACAAGTTTAAGGCATAATGCAGTGATCTATGAAAAGGACTAAAATAGTACATGAAGAACAAATGAATTATTATTATTATTATTATTATTTTACACTGTCACCCAATGGTGTGGCGTTTTAAATCTCCTGAGAATCCCTTACATATCCATGGTCGGTTCTTAATTTTGCAGACATATCTTTAATTCATTCATATCTTTCATTCAATATTTTAAGATCTCACTCATTTTGCACACGATGTACTCAGGCAACCACAAGTTGAAGAAAGGGTGACCTGAATTAATCAAGGTTTGACGCTGCCATTTTTTATAGAGTGTATGGACTTTCACGTAGATCTGCTGGGTGTAATGCAGAGACTCCGATGTTTTTATTTATTTATTTATTTATTTATTTATTTATTTTTTATTACAAGGGCATTCTCAGGGAACTGTCACTACGTAGTATACAGTCGAAAATGTTAATGACATTGTCGTCGTTACTTGGCAGTCGACACGGAATCCGCATGTGTGGGACTGGTGTATTGTGACAGAGAATCCCCATGATATAGAGTCCGCTTCCCATCCATTTGTACAAGTACGCCTCGCCCTTGATATTGGCCCACTTAGGTCAGACAAACCTTAAACAATATAACGACTCTGTGCCGACTGTCACGTGCCGACTGCAATAAAGCGACAAAATTAACGTTACGAATAAAACAATAGGCATATCTTTGATCATGAATTTTAAAACTTTAGTAAAGAAACTCTCCTTTGATATCGTGAAATGAACAATTATAAATTAAGGTTCGCATTTTCCAAAGCAGATAGAAAGCTGTTGAATATATATATATAACAGCCTTAAATGAAAGAACTCATGATATTACCACTGGAGGAAAACCCACACTTTAAAAGTCGGATGATATGTGAAATTCACTGGTAGTTAAAGTACAGTAATAGCATATTTAAGACCGAAACACAGTTATAAGATATTTTAGTGTTTTATTCAATATGCTCAATGTGTACTGGTGTACACTAAATTACATAGGGATAGAAGGAAGTTATACATGTGCAAATTTCTTGATTTACTGGTTTAATGGTCTCAAATTGAAGTGACAGAAATTGAACATGTTTCATTTCTATGTTTAACCCTGAATACATAAATTCCTCAGTAAAGTCATAATTAATACATTCACAGCAGTAAAGTTCCAAGTATAGTAAGAATTAACGAAAACAAACGTAACACATCTGCAGCTGGGATCCTGTCTGCATATTTAGGGAACAGCCTGTGCGACGGGAAGTACTGGTTGTTGCACCGGTGACAGTATTGGATAATATATCAATGAGGCACGATAATAGGCCAAACAGGTGTGGTACCTCATAACGCATTTCACCCAACGACGGAGGCTCGGGATATACACCCAAGAGGCAATGTCGTTGATCACAGTCCAGTTGACATTGTCACCAACAGCCACGACGCAAATTATTATTCCTGAAATAATGACAAAGACGTGTATTTATACAGTAGAAAAAAAGAATAAAGAAAAAAAAAGTGTCTTCAGAATAATGATAAAAATAAAGGCCCTATTTATATATAATTGTTCCAACTTCCCCAATCTCATATGTTCATATGACCGCATTTGTTTAAACTCGACAGCCTACAGGGTGTATCAAAAAAGTGAACACTTATAAAAATACCCAGAATGTTAAAAATTAAAAATTTTATTTCATATAACAAATGTAATGTAAATATAGGTTCGAAGGATAATTTTTTTTAATGCTGGGTATTTTCTAAGTGTTCACTTTTTTCATACCCCCTGTATATCCTTGACGTCTTGTATTAGTACATACCTTTCTTTTTCATAGCATCTGCCCTGGGCCTTGGGTCACCCCCATAATTATACTGCCCATCAGTCATTATCCAGACGAGGCGCTTGCCATAGTAACCAAGCTGACCATAACACTTCAATAAAGCATTGTTTATATTCGTCACACCACCTGTAAATTAAATGGAGCTGTAACTGTTGGGACGAAAGCTTTCAGCTACGATTTCAGTTTATTGTGTAGAAAGTGAACCTGCAGTTTTAAATTTTATCATTATGAATTATCTGCAAATATATGAGAATAACTATTAAGACTGCAGACTTGACTTAGCTGCTGAGACGCTGTATTAAAGTGACTGTCCCTAAACTTAAATATGTATCGGTCTTACCATTTTTCGCCACGGCGCCAATAGCATTGCGATTGGCAGTGTAGAACGAATGGGTCCCCAGGGCAAAGATAAGCTGTGCCCAGGTAGAGAAGCGTACCAGAGCAATCTTATGTTTTCCAGGGGCTATACTATTCGTTCCAGGAGTGTTGTTGATGATGGCAAGGATGTTCTGAAACAATATTTATTCAAAGGTAACCCAGTATTTTTTTCAAGTTGCACAACTGCCCAACGCCCCCCCCACCAAAAAAAAAAAAAAAATCTCTCTCTCTCTCTCTCTCTCTCTCTCGACCTCTCTTGATGCCTGGCCCCATTTCTCAAAGCGATGCGTGCCATAAAATCGAGTTACAGTGAACTAATATACAAATCCTATTTCATGGTCGAATTGTCGACGGGCATGCGAAATTTATTTAAATCTCTTCTTTTCTAACATGCTTATTCGATATTATTTCGTTTCCTCATCTTATGTTTCCGGTGGGTGTTAAAAGAAAATAATAGCGGGAAAATCCACACAAAATAAGGTTATCGACCAAGAAGCAAACCAATTCGATAATAAAATCAGTGCACATGTATTTTACCTTGGTCGATCCTTTGGAGCACGACCACTCAGAATCGCTAATGCTGCCGCTGCTGTCCAATGCAAAACAAACTTCCCAGTAGGGAGGAGCACCGCCCATCAGAGCTTGGATCACTTGGTAAGGTGTGAGAGCCTCAGCGCCCAGACCATTGAAGGCCATTCCAACAGCAACCAACAGCACCAGCGCAGCTAACTTCATCTTCAGTGACGGCAGGAACTTGGTCCACGTGGAGATGATAGAAGAGAGCTAGCTTGGTTCTGCCACAGAGAGATGGAAATCCAAACAGATATTTATACAGAACACTGACTTGCACTAACTGGGACAAATTGCAGTCAAAATGATTTATTTCCGCGTATTGGCCAATCACTCTTTTGGGAACCACATGATAACAGTTTGTACACGACAATGATCAGGTACTCATAAGACATTAATAAATTGTGGAGGTAAATATAGCTTTTTTGATACTTGTCACACAGATTCGTGGAAAGAATGCGAATATGAGTTGGAATTGGGTAATTTACTTTACAAAGGTGCTGCATAATCAGAAGATTATTTACCATTGCGTGAAACGAGGACCTGGTGGAATGTTTGCTCCCCCATTAAAAAAACATTAATACGTTAATACCTGGAAGGATACATAAATAGGTGAACAATGAAATTCTCAACATAAAGGCATGAGGAAAGAGCACCTTGTCACTATAAAAAAGTCTTCAACACGCAAATTCGAAAAAGTAGTCTTTTTTAAAAAAACTTTCATGAAAATATCACTTGCAACGGTTTTTGATGTTCATTATTATTATTATTATTATTATTATTATTATTATTATTATTATTTTTACACAAAGGCACTCAATACTGTGAAGTTAAAAATAGGAAGCCTTCGACCATCTTTTTACTTTCTCAATCTTATTAAGTGTGCACACGAAGCAATCAGTTAAGCACACGTTGTCCTTACAGTGTTTTGAATAAAACATAAACATGTGTCAGAAAATAGCTGCTATTGAAAGAATGTATACATATCATTGCATACATAAACAATAAATTATTATGTCGTTTTCTTAAACAATAAACAACAAACGACATCCCTTTATATCTTTCTCAGGCCCTGGATGTGCATATGAAAACACATATTTTTGTGAATTTCTAATACTAAAGCATTGCCTCAGTATTCCCGTCCACAGGGCACAGTAATTTTCACATGTTTTGTAAAATCATAATGGAAAGTGTAAATGATTGTGCTAGGTGAAGGCTTACACATTATATTAAATTCCATTGAGAAACGCTATACCCCAAAGGGGTTAGAACATGTATAAGAATGAATGCTGCAATTCCTCGTGCCATAAGTGTTGGCCTCTAACGTTTATCAGTGAAAGAGAAGGAATTTGGTGGTAAATATATTTGCATCACAAATAAATCCACAAAAATGATAAAATAATTCCAACCATTTTAAACAACCTTTACAATAAACTGATCTTTGTAATCAGTTCCCAATGTTGCTTCAATATAAACAGTAGATGACAGTAAATATAATAAAATGGTATCACCTTTACCTTTCCATTGAATGAAGTAAAATAAAGTTGGATTCTAGACGATTTTAAACCCCATTAGATCAGGTCTTTATGCATCAATCAGGCCTGGTTTTAATCAAGGCTGTGTATAGCGCTATCATAGGGATGACACTATACACATGGCACACATCTCTTATAATCTGGATAGTTATATCCTTGTATAAAATTCTGTTTTATTCACAGAGGCTGGATAAGCACCATTATAGTGGACAAGTGGATAAGGAGTGTATCCAATATCTTCAGAGGATAGCAGCCATTTTAACCACTGGATAGCGCTATCCGGTCCTGATGAAACTGGATCCTTGACTTCAGGGATTTCTAGTGAACCCTGCTTCAGCCTCATTTATCATATTTTATGATTGAACTAGTGAAATCGCAGCAAATAAGCTTTCACTTTAAAGGTATATTTGCACTGATTTTAGAAATTAAACAAACTATGGTAGCCTAACTAGAAGTTTTTGAGTCCCTATGTAATTCAACCAACTATTATATTAGTATTCGTCCTTCCTCCCATTTTATCCAGTAAGATACTTTGCTTCAAAGCCTCCAAACCAGCTTCCTTTCCCCTCAGAAATGCTCGTTGCTATGGTTGCTGGCAAAACATCATTTTTGGCTAATTTTGTAAAATCATCAGAGCTGAGAACATTGCAATTGGCGGATTTCATGATTTCAATTCCAAAATATAATATCACTTGCCAAAAAATGACTGGCGTTTTTTTATGAGACGCGATCAGCTGTCTTTAATTGGCTCATTTTCCGTATTCTGAACAAAACAGCCCTGAAATGAAGATAAATGTTTCACAGGTATTCAATTCAGCAGCAAAATGGAGAAATCCACTGTCAGATCCCCCCTCCCCATATTTGATAACTGGTTCTAAATGCGCCCATAGACATGTTGCCGAGGACAACAACCCTCCTATTCACATTTGAATAACCACAGGTTCTTGGAAAATATGCGAATTTGAATTGTAAGAGAATTCTTAACTTTTAACATGTGTTTCACACAGAGATTATTTACCACTGCGTGAAACGGGAGCTTGGTACAATATTTACCGTTTCCATTTAAAATACATTTTAAGACATTAGTTCTGGGAAAGAAACACCAATTATTGCAATGATGGTCTTTGTACCAGGGCTGTGGAAGGAACAACGTATTATAATTTAAACAGAGACAAAAATTATAGTAGTCTCTGCCACCAACAAGAAGGAAATCAACGTTTTATCAGCTTTCCGTCGTGATGATGACGTTTGGAAACATTTTGTTTTTGATTCCTAAGGATTTACTATGACGTTTGGAAGACTCTTTTATTGGTTAACTGAACTTCTTACACGTTTATCCTTAATTACTATTGCTCAAAACAGATATAATCCAGAGATCTGTTACAAGGACGAAATTGTTGTATGTAAAAACGGATGTATTATTATTATTATCAATACTATTATCATCATTATACGCTGTCACCCAGTGCTGTGGTGTTTCTCCCGAGAAATCGTAACATCTCCATGGTCGGTTCTTAATTTTGCAGGCATATCTTTAATTCATCCTTAATTGCACTCATTTTGCACACGCTGCACTCAGGTAAGCACACGTTGATGAAACGGTGTCCTGAATTGAACAAACACATTTACCTGGCATATATATTCAAGCCAACAGTAAATTGTCTCTCTTCCGTATACTTAACCAAAAGTGTGAAAGGGCAACTTATGTTGATAAAATAACAAATTATGACACCTTGTCAACCCTTGCTAAACTACGTCTTAGTGACCATAAACTCCACATCGAAACTGGGCGGCACACCAGGCCAAAAACTGAAAGGTGCGACAGAATCTGTCGCTTGTGCACCCAAGGGGTAATTGAAGATGAATACCATTTTATATTCCAATGCCCAATGTACAAAACAGACCGAGTCACCTTTTTAAGTAAAACCTCAATCCTAAAAGCTGATCCCAGGTCACCAGACAGTCATTTATGCCATGTATTTAACAGTGCCAAAAAAGATACTCTAGTGTCCCTCTCCAACTTTATAATCAAATCATTCAAGAAAAGAAGTGAAGTAGTTGCTCTGCTTGGTAACTCTTATCATATCCCTTAAAATGTCAGTGTATGGTCCCACTGTTGTGAGAAGTGACTCGGCAGTGGGACTGAACATGGCACAATATTTATATCTGTGTAACTTATTTACTTATCTGTCTTATGTAATTGCCATTAGTCGTAATTATCCATGTCATCAAACTGGCTTTAAACAGCTATGTAACCTTGGTTTTAAGTTTAAACATATTCTTTTTGTGTACATGTTTATAGTATGTTTATGGTAAATTTAAAATCACACCAATGTTTATCGCATTGCTTAGATAGAATATTTTATGAGTAATTTTACTGATACATATGTCCATTATATAAAGATGGTAATGCACTAACTGTATTATATCGTCATTAGTATATCATATTAACAATTACAATTAACAATTGTTAATGTATATTATTAAGCCATTTTCCTACACAGTAAACATCATCTATATACTCAATTTTATGATATTTGATGAAAAAGGAAAATTAGACTGCAACAACATTTACAATAAATAATGTAGTCATTGAATCAGTTAAAGAATACAATTGTCTGGGCTTAACCTTTAAAAATACAGGTTCAATAAAAAACAATAATTTATAGAAAAAGGCCCTAAAGACAACTTTTTCTCTTAAAGCAGCCCTTTCCTCAATCAAGATATCATCTCCCCCACTCAATTTGAAACTATATGACAAAATCATCAAGGCCATCGTACTGTATGGGTGTGAAGCATGGTCTGAAGAAATATTCAAGGAAAAACAATTTTAGTGACCACGACTTGGAAATTGAACGGGGTCGCTATACTGCTCCTAAAACCCATACTGAAAATGGTAAGTGCCCCCACTGTAATGAAATTGAAACCAAAAATTCATTTTTACGGAAATGTGAAGAACATAGTGACATAAATAGAAGGCTCATGATACCTTCTAATCAGAAAACAGATCATGAAAAACTCGAGTGGCTGCTCAGTCTAAAAAGTGAAACATTTTTAAGAGCCTTACATATACGTTTAAATGAAATTTTGAAAAAAAATGATACACTCGTCACTGGCAATATAGTAGCTGTTTTATCCTGTGCTACTTCCCAGTAATCATTTCATATGTATTTTGTATTTATATAGATGTTATAAAACTAGACGTAGATTAGAGAGCCTGTAAAATATAACTTGCACACATTTTATTGCTCAATAAAGCTTTCGGGTTGATATTTACTGCATATATAAAAAATCAGCTGAGAATGGCTACGAACCATAGGAGACAGCACATAGGAGTGACATCCACAAGATCGTTCTTCGTTCTCATATTTTGGCCTCTAACCGTGATCAATGTAACAACAATGATTTGGCGGTAATATATGTAAATAAGCAATGACAAACCGCCCCGTTCCGTTGCAATCAGCAATGCGCAACTCAGTGGCTGAAAGGGTGGACGATAGAAGTAAGAGTCACGTCACGTTCGCCCCCATGTTGCAGCCGCGTGGCGTCACGTGACTATCTGGAGTCACATGTGGCTCTCATTGTCACCTAATTCTCTGCATATCCTCATTTGACTACTTATGTCAGCTACCTGTAATAAAATGTTTTAAAGACAGTCTCAGTGGGTTAGATTAATGTATAGAAGCAGGTTCTATGTAAAGCTTTGATCAGATTTGTGTTTTGTGAGATTGTTTATTATTATATTAATAAGTCTGGGTCACAAAAGTCCTGTTCAGACAACTAGAATAAAGAATTAGAAAACGAAAACTATTTATCATGATTTCGGAGCACAGCCAGAAGTACTTCCGGCTCAAGGTCACGACCTCGATTTTCCCACGCTTACGACCAATCACAGCAGGCTTCAGTCAGAATGAGATAGACGTCACGACTACACAGCGAAACTTGTCAGACATGTAAGTGCCGCCTGTCCATCTTTTCGGTACATGTACCGATCAAAAATAGACAACGTAAAGCCCAAAACGCTCTTATACACGTAACCAACTTTGTATGAGCACAAATATTGTCATTTATTGTGAACAGGATAATATGATAATCAGACACACTTGAGACCTGTGAAGCGCATACTCACGTGTCGAGGAGTAGTTTCGCCATTGCCTCGTATGTGAGTCCTAACTCAGCTTTAAGTGTCCTCCACCGCCCCACCTCCCTCCCAACATACACAGTCTGAGTGCTTCTTCGTCTGTCTCTAATTTTCTTTCGTATCTTTCGAACTGGAGTGGCTATTTTCTTTCG